ATGCAATGCCAACACATATAATTGGACAGACGAAGAGAGGTTCCGTATGGCCGCGCAGTCAATGGAGGGCAGCGCGAAGACGTGGTTTTATCCCACTTTTAAGGAGGAATCGTCGCGCAATTGGCCGAACCTTTTGCGTGAACTGAAGGAACGTTACGCGCCGGTTGATAATGAAGACATGGAAGTCTTTGAGATTATGGCGAGTGTTCAGGAAAATACGGAATCGGCCATTGATTTTGTTGAGCGCGTCTACAGGCGGTCAGAACGACTCGAAAGGCCACTCGCGTTCACAAAAATCCGTACAATTCTTATAAACGGGTTACGGCGTGACACTCTTAAAACTGTCATTTATGGCCAAACAAATATGCGAGACCTGTTTAACTGCATTCGTGTCTTAGACAAGGAGAAGACTGAGACAAACCTTAAGTCTTCGCGCCGTGAAGAGGGGCCGAAGGGCTCAGACATATGTTTCAGATGTCATAAGACTGGCCATCGAGTGCGTGACTGTCCAGAGGCGGGCAATTCATCACAAACTCAGCCCAAACAGTATGACTCGGGCGCGCCTCGAAAGCCGATCACTTGTTATACTTGTGGAGAAGCCGGACATATATCGATTGTCTGCCCGAATGCGAGTACAAGACGACAGATAGGATCACAAGACACCCGTATGTGTGATCAATGGGACTCAACTCAAACAATTGATCAGCGATTCCAGATGAAAGCGTTGTCCAGAGAGCAGGAAGAAGCGGTCGAAACTGTGGCCAAATTCTTTGGCACTCATGCAAGTGATGCGCGCCTGAATAGGAATGAAGAAGTCGTTAAAATGGGTAAAACTCCTCGCATTTCATTATTAATTAGTGGTTTGCCTGTTATTGGTTTGTTGGACACGGGGTCCAGCATTTCGACTATTAGCCGTAAACTCGCGGATCAGCTGAAACTAAACATTAAGCCATGGAGTGGCCGACCGATGCGGATGGCGAACGGATCTACTGTTTGTCCTTATGGTGTTGTCCATAATGTGCGCGCAGTAGTTGGCAGTCGTGCTGTCATTATGTCAATGGCTGTCTATGAAGACTCAACACTGGAATGCATAATAGGTATGGATTTGCTGCAATCCATTGGATTTGTCTTCAGCGCCGTCGAGAGGGCGTGGAATTACTCGCGGATCACACACTTGGAAGGACTGATAATAGCGTCAGATGTGGAGGAACTGATCCCTTACCCGTGGTTTCCGGCGACAGCACAAGAGATGGCGAGATTGAAGAGTTGCGATAAAAAGGGTGATGTCTTCTACGCCGAGAAACCCAAAGTTTGTGGTCAAAAGTGTGGACATTTGGGTTCAACCATAAGCGACGCGCGAGAGCCCAACAAACAGGTTGTAAACAAAACAACAAACAAATTGAATGAAACAGTAGGCGAGAAATGTGGACAAAGAGTTGCCGATTGCTCGCCAAAAACAGTTGCCCGAAGACAAGAGAAGGTTGAAGAGAGAGGACTCGACTCTGCACTCAATGAAGAGGTTATCCATAAAATGAAGACTAAATCGAGAGAAGGGATGAAACGGACGACAAATGCGAGTAAAAGTGAAGTCAAAGGAGCGCTCATTCAAAAGGACTTCAATTCATCACAACAATCAAAGGGAAGGCGAGCCGTGAAAGTTGACCACAAAAAGAGATCAATGAATGCCGAAGAGTATAAGGCATTACTCGCGCGCCTTAATAATGAAGTGAAGAAAGGAGACAAAGAGGAGAACCATCGATACAATAGCCCGCGTCTATCGCTGGTCAAGGATCAGGTGGCGGTCGCCGAACAGGTGGTGGTCGAGACCACTAACAGAGGATTGGATGAGAGACTAATGTGCGTGAATGAAGACATGTATGACTACAAGAGTTATGCAAACAATAGAAAAGTGACAGAAAATAGAAAAGAAGAAGAAGTGGCGGACAGTGAAGAGGAAGAGAAGACACCTCCCATTGCGCGCCCGAAACGAGTGGTCGACCGACCGATACGTTTGTTGGACTAGAGATAAGATTCGCAAAAATAATACACTATTTTATCATTTAGTTTATAATTTGATTTATTTTGCTTTTTAATTATGTTATTTACTCGCCGTTTATAAGTGAATCTTAAATTCATTTTTATGTTTAAATTTGATTTGTTTGTTTGACTCGCAATTGTTTGACTAATTTTGTTTGAAGTTATTCTTGAGTTTTTATGAATACTCGCGAGGAAGACGTGGACATTGAATGAGACAATGATTGCCACAACACTACTGAATGCGTGGAATCAATTGATGGCAACAAGTCAGCCAGGAGGCTGAATATTGGTGGTGGTCGTGTAATGGTGGTCACCATTTAGCGGGAATATACATTAAGGACATTCAACCCATCACTCGCCCTCTAAACCCCTTTTAAAGCCTATTCTACGAGAGATGCTATGAGAAGGCTATCGATTGGTGTTAATCCCTAAATGCGAGTCCTCTATAACCCAGAAATCCTGGAATATTTAGACTTAATGTTTATTTTAAAGTTTATTAAAGAAAATAGGAAACAATACATGCGAGTAGAATAGGGAAGTGAATCTGTATTTAAAGTATAGAAATGAATAAAAGTTTTTAGTTAGTGTTGGAGTGAAGTTAGAGAGGAGAGACAGAGTTAGGACTCGAGTGGAGACAAGTCAAGAGGACCTCTGATTTCTACTCGCATTTAATGTTTCTCTAAATTATAATTTGATTTATAATTATTTTAAAAGTATTTTATTATTTATAATTGGCGTGTATTTTGTATTTGAGGCGAGATTTTAATAAATAGTGTTTGAATTAAATATTTGTTTTGATTTAAATTGTGTGAATCTCGCGTAATTGTGGTTTAATTGTGTTTAAATCACGTGTTATAGTTATCCCCGCTATAGTTATACTTACTTTAGATAATTTATCATGTAATTAATGTAAACTTATTATATTTTCTCATGACTTATACCTTTGCACCAAGTGCTTTTAAAACTTTTTATGGCTAGATTTGTGGCATTCATTAGCTCTCTATATTGACGTTCATTGAAATGTATGCCCAGAGGGCAAATATCAGTCATGTCAAGTGGACACATGGTTGCCAGTGATTGACCTACACTGTTGTTGTGGACATAGAGTCCGGGCAAAACAGCTTGACATACAATATGTTTTATATGACATGCAGTATGTAAATGTCATATATTTTATTATGTCACATGTTTTATTATTTTACATTGCTTTTATAAAATTTTATGTTATTGCTTCACATGTTTCATAAATAAAATGCTTATGAACAACAATTTAAGTTGATCTTATATTACAACGTCCAGTGCTGGACAAAGTATGCAATTAAATAACCAATCTTTGTAAAATGTTTTATTCTATGATCCAAACTAATCAATATTGTACTTGTTCAGCATCAGAATTGTCTATCATGTTTATTAATGTAGAATTATTTTTACTTTTATTATCATATTCTTTTCGAAGGACATTATCAGATAACCTGATTCAGATTGCAGGGAAATATACAAATTATTGTACAGTATAGTGAGTTTGGCATACAGTAGATGTAGTACTGTTGTCAGTGTGTATAGTGTACACACCGTTGTTCACAATAATCAATAACCCTATTATATGCACACGTATTGTGTATATATTGTTCAATATTTTCCATACGGAGAGAGAGAGAGAGAGAGAGAGAGAGAGAGAGAGAGAGACTTGAATATTAAACACATTAACCAATTATATGGAGAAAAATAAAATAAAAGAATATTCTGCGTTTACCAGAATATTCTGTGCCAAGAATTGAGTGCCAATTAAAAATGTCATTACATTAGTGCACACAACTATATTTTGTATTACACTATACGTGCGATTCCTTATACTTTGTACACTGAAAAACACATACAATTTGTAAACACTTTTATTTAATCACTCGTGTATTTCCAATGGTTACAAATACACAGATGAAATGTTTTGGCCCCCAAACTAAATGTGTGCCAATTCTCACCATAATCTCACACAACCGTACACTATATGGGGAGAGAGAGAGAGAGAGAATGTTTGGGGAATTTTGCGGCAGAAGTGAAAAAACAAAACACTAACCCTAATGGATATAATAAATTAAATAAATACTCCTAGCTATTTATTACAGCATAGATACCGTGTATAATAGTAATCAATAGAAATCTACAGCATATGTATATATAGTGAACAATCGGATCATTAGTGAACGCATACTATTACGATCATCGCATTGAATACATTATACTATATTTGCAAAGCATTTGCATATAATAAATATAATGTCAACGCACTGTACACTATACACACCATACACAACATATAGACATATAGTTTGCATTGTATTGTATAATAGGGTGGAATATATACAACAGAATATTGTAAAATTATACAACATATATAAATCTATATAGCATACTAGATACAGTACATTTATGCATAAATCTATCAAACTTTCCCTGTTTACCATGAAGTTTAACGTATATCTACTGTACTCTACAGAACACACAGCATAGCATAAAGTGTAGTACAGTATACCCTACAGTGTGTACCGCACATACAGTGTACGCGAATCGAAATAAATGAATAATACAGTGAATGTGTTTATACAGTGAAGGGCTGGTATTGTGTACAATGTATGCATACATAACACCAATAGTGTACTGAAAGCGAGAGAGAAAGGGACAGTTGGGTCGGCGCCGGCGTACAGCACAGGTATAATAATACCATACAATATATGCCATACAGTGAACGGGCATATAGTGTACAGACAAAACAGCACACAATAACACACATAACACTGTACTGTATGTTATAATACCAGTAGTATTACTGGGAGTACTGGGAGTGAGAGTTAAATGTTATATCGCTTTTGAAGTGATCGCGATTTCAAACACAACACAACACATGCATTACCGCAATGTCTGGGCTAATCAACCCCGATGTTGGCCACCAACCAGACACCGCTACCCGTAATAATCATAGTTAATAATCATCATTACTAATACCGCGACCAAATAATGCCGACTATTAAATGCTCGTTCAGTGGCTGCGAGTCTAATATAATCACCGAAAATAAGTTATCGTTTTTTCGATACCCTATTAATGATCGCAAAAGGTATAAAAAAACTTACATGTTTATATTTTAATTGTATTTAATTTTTAATACACTATACAGTAGTGTATGAGAGGTGGGGGACAGGTGTGTACACTGTTGGGCAGGGCTGGCATATGTGTGCGATTAGTGTACCAACAGCACTAGAAAACAACAACAAAACAACCCTATTGTTTAGTGTATATGTATTTTTTTGACACATTTTTTGTGTCTCGCCTTTACATATACTGTACTCCCATATAATCAACAATAAGTGCTGTTTAATTGCAATGTGTGTATAGTGTACACACATGTGTTGTTTTTGTTGTTGGTGTTGGTGTACAGCAACTGTTATATAACAGTTGTTCACACTATCGGGGAGTCGGCCATAGTTGTTGTTGCACCTAGTTCATTCATAGTACACTAGTTTGTTCATTATATACGGTTTACACACTTTATAGTGTATTCATTGTATGAGAGAGAGAGAGAGAGAGAGAGAGAGTTAAATTACTTTTAAACTAATTATTTAATGCAAAACTTATGCGTCAATCACTTTAACTGATCCACTGATGTCTTTAATCTCCTCACTCTGCAGATGCGAACAATGGGTGAAAAACAGTGCCAACCATAAGATACGGGAGATATTTGGCCACAATTTGCGTCAATTGCGGTACAGGACTGTCTGCGAGAAGCACTTCTTCGCCTACGAGATCATCAGCCATAAGAATCGCAAACAATTGATCAGTTCGTCGGTTCCCAAGTACGCGATGGTCGGACACATGAGTGCGGCCACACCTGTACCCCCGACCGCAGCCATCGCACAGATATCAACCACCGCTTCCACGCCATCATCGCTAGCCATAGATAACGCCAATACATTCAACCAATCGCTGGCCAACATATCGTCGGTGAATCGGCGCCTGTCGTCCGGTGCGGACATATCCGATGAATACGAGGACATCGATGACGACGACGACGATATAGACTCGCATTCCTCCACATCGGAGGACAACTTCATCGACAATAGTCTTCGCAATTTGGAGCAAATCGAGAGAACCATAAACTCTATACTCAACAAACAGTCGCTAGAAGTCAACGGTTCCGCCGGTGATCATCGAACCGACGCCCAGCCGTCAGACACCCGATGCTCTGACCAATCGTTTGAGGACAACAACGCCGAGTGTCAGGACGAAGATCTGGTGGAAAAGTTGCTGAACTTTGAGCAGATCCTCACCGAAAACGACGACAATTTCGCTTCTAATCTCAACTCAATTCAATCGCTGATCAGTCAGTCGTTTGGCTCGACTTATGGCCACCCGTTGGGAGGTTAGTGTCCATTGCATACGCCATCGCCTAAGACGTGATAACCTAATCCTTGTCTCTCTTTCTCCTCACAGGCTATCACTCGAAACAGAAGCGCAAATGTCTGACCATTTCAGAGAAGTTGGAGATAATACGCGACTTCAACGACGGCATGAAGAGGACGGACATTATGCGCAAATACTGTCTGCCATACCAGTCGTCATTGTCGGCCATTTTGCGCAACAAAGACAAATACATCGAGTATATCACCAAAGGGTTCGGTCGCGAAGACAAACTCAAACGAGTCAAGTCGCGCAGGGGTTGGGTTGTGCCGAAGGCCACACCACTGCC